GACATGTGGGATACTCTCAAGATGAGGCCAGTCTAGTCATCAAGGTACCTCTAGCCTTTGAGCAGCCCCAGGTGATGCCATGTAAACTGAGAAACTGTTTCTGTTATACCATGCACAAAATGGAAGTTAGTCTCCTAGAGCCACTTAGCTTCTGGCAGCTAGATATGCAGCAACAGAAAACCAGAAAAGAGAATGGAAAAGATATTACAGTATGATAGCCACAAGGGAATACTGCTTAGCCACAAAAATGAATGAGGTGGGAAAAAAATGCAACAAAACAGATGAATCTTCAAGGCCTTAGCTTAGTGGAAGTAGCTGGAGACAGCACAGACTACATGTTTCCACTAGAACAAGTAAGAACAGTCTAAGGTGAGCATGTACAGCAAGGCTGCCTCCTGGTAACCCAGGGACACAGGAACTGTCTTGTAGGTGGAATGGTGTGATTGTGCATTACCAAGGGGCTCATTTGTCAAAGGAGCAGAGGTAACATTGGTACCTGCCAATGCATGTGACATTTAGTTACTGTCCAGCCACTCAACACCAGAGAAACACCAAACAGCACAAATTAAAGGGATAAAACATGAGTAAGGACAACAACAAATAGCAAGCAGTTACTTATAATCATCCGGTTGGCAGTGGGGAGGGGCAGCTTGCATAAGCACAGTATTCATCATGGAAGATCTTTATACTCGAAGAGAATTCTTGAGGTGTCAGTTTAGTTGATTCTTTCTTTGGTACTGGAGATTGAATTCAGAGACTCACATATTCCAGGCAAGTGCTCCACAATGAGGTTGGTGTCTTCTAATTATTTTATAGGTGTTGGATATGTACTATGACATTTTCCCACTGAGCTTCATCCCTAAACTGTGTTTTTCAAAGCTACCTTTGTAACTTGTATCAGTTAAGCTTTATGCTTCAGGTATGTAACAAATCCCATTCAGACTCCAGAAAATGTGAAATTTGGTGAAATCTAAATTCCTATCATTGGCCCATCCTTTTCTTGTGGGCTCTGGACCTACATACTCAACGTCTGCCATCATGCCTGAGATGTCAAAGTCTCCCAAAGCTGGTGACATGGTCTCAAAGAGGCTCACTGTCTCAAGAGAAACTGACACTCTGAACCTAATTGCCCAAGCCTGGAACAGTTTTTGCTTAGATATTGCCCTCCTTGTACCCCAAATGCTACCAGCTACCCACACCAGGTTGGTTTTCTGATTCTTTCTCCTTCTCCCGTAGTTCCAGCCCTCAACAGTTTGCATGATGTGACTCAAAGGTCTTCCTTCCTGTGTTTCCTTTCTTCCAGTGTTTCTCTGACCCATCCTCCAAACTACAGGGGTGGGCTACCACAGCAACAAGTCTCCTCACACTGCTATCTAAACTCTTGAGGAATTTTCCTTTCCCCACTGCTCATGTGAAACAAAGCCCTGCACACACTGTTCTTGGCAATGTCTACAGCAGTTTGTCACCCTACCATTTTCAGTGGTTGATAAATGACTTCTGGTGCCCATCAGTCAGTCAATCTCATATCTGCATGTCTGTGTTCAAACACTGTCTCATCCAAATTCCCTAGAAATTACACAGCTCTCTCTCTAGGTAACGTTCTTGCTACAGACCCTTGCTTAAACAATTCGTATGTGCCCCTCCCAAAGAACAACCCCACATCTGTGAGGACGGAGTGCCATTCACAGAACTGTTGATATTTTCCCTTGTTTGGTTTTCAAGACAATGAAACCACACACTTCATTTGGAAGGAAATGTATCTCATTTTTGTTTAAATACCCAAGCCAAAACAGTTCCTAACACACAGGATATGCTTAATAGTTATTTGTCGGACAGATTGAAACTCAAACAAAAATGGTTTTAAACAGTAGTATTTCATTGAAAATGGAAGTGATAAAAAGCTAGGGCTAGGCACCTAGGCACATAGCTCAGTGGTAGAGTACTTGTCTAGCACATGCAAGGTCCTGGGTTAGATCCTAGTAATAAACAAACCAAACAACAAGCAATCAAACAAAAACAAACACAAACCAACCAAACTAAATTGACAGCATAGATTGACATTTTAAATGATTTAAGTCTTCCAAAGATTAGAACCAAAAAGTTTTAACCTGTCAGTCAAAAACCAAAAGGAAAAATATTCATAATGAGGGACCTAAAGGATGGGAAACTTGGGCAGTAGGATTTGTGGAAGGCACCAGTGTTGTACAGCACAGATATACAAAGAGGATACACTGAAAATGAGCATCCTTTCATCAAGCAGGAAAAGACGGAACTAAAACTACATAGATGCATATTAGAAAAGTCTTAGGTAATGTGCCCAGCCCACCATCTAGTGTCGTAATTTCATGCTCAGTCAGTTGCATTCTCAGGGGAAAACAGGCCTCAAAGCTTAAAACCTTACCGAGCACCCTGGCTTCTGTTTCAACATGGCCAGAACTTGGATATTCTTACTCATGCTTAAAAAGGAACAACAAGCCAGGCATGGAGACTTAGGTGGAGATGTGCAGATTCTTGGGCCCTGCTGGCCAGCCACCTAACCTGCTTGGTTAGCTCCAGGCATGAGACCCTCAAAGGACAGGAAAGAGAGTGGATAGCACCAAAGGAGCAATTTCCAGAGTTGTTATCTGGTCTCCAAAGACACATGCACACACGTGCACATAGGTATATGTGTACCTGTACACACATGCATGCACAAAAATACACACAAAAGAACAACAACAATAACAAAAGCTTAACAAAATGGAAATAAACCATTACTTGATTTGGAAGTTAAACAACACATTTATAAATAATACATGTGCCACACAAGCCTCAGGAAAAAAAATACCTGAACTAAATGAAAACTAAAACAGACATCAAAATCAGCAGGTTTGTGGGATGCAGTGAAGTAGTGCTTGCAGGCAGAGTTGCAGCTGCACATGCATCAGGAGAGAGGGAAGAGCCAACACCAGTCACAAATTCCCATCTTAGGTGGGAGAGAAAGAACAACAATTTAAGTCTACAGCAAACCAAAGAAAGAAAAATTAAAGATGAAATAAATGACATTAAAATAAAGACATCAGTAGTAAAAATCAACAAAATGAAAAAAATTATTGTATGAAAAATATGTAGCTAGGCAAGGGAGGAGGGAGAGGAGGGAACAGGAGAGAAGCAGCAGGCACTGATGTTAGAACAATGAGGTAATGTTAACAGTTACAGTTTCAAGAGTTTGATACTGGGAGGAAATGGATCAACTCCTTTCAGACACACATGATTAAAATTGGCACAAAAGGGGTAGGTAATGGGAACAGGCCTACATGTACTAAAAACTGAGTAACAGCCTCCAAGAAGAAAAAACATCAGGCAAAAATGGTTTCACAGGTAATTTTACCAAACATTAAAAAGACAAATTGCTGTCTTATCAGTGAGCTCTCCCTCCGCACATTCTTCCAGACTCAGAAGTGGAGGAATCTGTCTCCACCCAGTCTCTGAGGCCCAGCACCGAAGCCAGACAAAGACATTACAAAGGACCAGGCACATCTCCAGAACACAGATGTGAAACCCTCAGCAATGTTAGTGTACTGACTCAGGTAATGTATAACAAGAACAGTTGACCACAACCAAATGAGATTTACTCTAGGCCTGCAAGGCCAGGTCAACACAGCAAATCTATCAATAGAATCTACTACTTCTGTGGGCTAAAGAAGGAAACCCCATGTGACCATTAGCATCAGATATAGAAACAGCCTTTGTCAAAACCCAACAGCCATTCACAATGAAATTCATCAGAAAGCCAGGTTCCACATATGTGTCACTGTGCAACTAGTGAATCTTGTAAATACTTAAATAAATGGGAAGATACATTATGTTCTACATATGTATAACCTTGTAACTAATGAAATCCTATAAACAAATAAATGGGAATATATTTTATGTTCCTAGTTTCAAAGACTTGGTACTAGAAGTTACCAATTTTTGTTCATGTTCAATAAACTCCAATGGAAACTGCAAGAAACCACTTCATAGAGATCAGCAAACTGTTTCTAAATTTTATACAGAAGAGGCAAAACAAAAACAAAACAAAAAACGCACCTATAACAGAGAAGACAATACTGAAGGACAAAGAGTTCTGAAAGGACAGAAAAGCAAGATTTACTGAGAGCCCACTGTGAAGCATGGTAAGGTAGTAGGGAGGACAGGCACCCAGACACAGAAACAGTGGAGAGCACAAAAAGACACTGGAATGAAAGCAGTTCTTTGGAGGAGGGACACTGTCTCCAACACATGGCATGAGAAAAAAACTGCACACCTATATGAAAAAAAGAAAATCAGGCAGACAAACCTTTTATCTTCCCAAGTGGATGATAGACATAAACATAAAAAGTGGAAATATAAAAAGTAAACATAGGAGACAATCTATGTGACTGTGATTTGGTTGTGAATTTTAAGATACAGCATCAAAAGTACAACTTATGAAAAAACAGGGATATAGTGAACTTGATTAAAGTTAGCACTTCTGCTCAGTGAAGACACTGCTGAGAATATGAGCTATACCACCACCCAAGCAAAGGCACTTTCTGAGCACTGTGCCTAGTGAAGGTCCTGAGTCCAAAGTAAACAGAGAACTGTTACAGTTCAGTACCACAGCACTACACACACACACACACACACACACACACACACACACACACACACACACACACCCCTGTGTCTCCCTGTCAGGGAACTGCAGATAATAGTGAGATCTACTACTCAACTATTAGAATGGCTAAAATCTAAAAAACTGGCAAAATCAATGGCTTTCAGGGGTGTACAGCTACAGACTCTTAGGACTTTGGAGATTTCTCCACACAATGACAAAATCACTCAACAGTGCCTTTCTCAGACACCCAACCTGTTAAACAATTCATAGCTGTTATCTGTCCCCCGTTGTGTGGTTTTAATTACTTCCCATTTAGTGATTTTTTATAATTCATTCTCATGTACCAGCCAAACAAATATTGCACATTTTTACTAAGGTCTCATAATTTAAAGTTAGCAATGACTTTATTTTCAAATAAGAAACATTATGGAATATTTGGATAATCTTGGGAATGAAGAGTTGATTTAAATATTGTGTGGCATGCTGGAGGTCAAAGAAGTTACAAGCAACTTGCAATTAAAATGTAACCTTTAGAATAACATATTATGATGATAAATGTATCTTTTAATAGCAGAAAATGATAACTTACCGACTTTCTAGCAAGATCGCAGAAGTGCCAATTTTCTGCTGGAATTTCACCTTTTATCAATTGTAATTCTCTGAAAACAAGAAGTCATGACCCATACGCATATTTTTTCAAGTACCAAATAACTAATAAATCATCCCTAATTGAGGCATTGTTAGAATTCAGAAACTTTTTTTTTTTTAGAACATTGATAAGCAAATCTTTGGGGTGGGAGAATTAATCAGTGGATACTAGGAAAAGATACAAAGTACTTTGCTGTGGCTGAAGAGCATGTTATGAATACATTTGTTTTGTGCAGAAATGATTTTCCATTGTGTTTAACAGAGATGATTCCTTACAAAAAAAAAAAAAAAAAAAAAAGAAAGAAACCAGACCTAGTAGGTATTGGTGCTCCACTATCTCAAAATGTCAAAGAAAAAAGAAAGGCTGGGGCCGGAGAGATGGCTCAGAGGTTAAGAGCACTGACTGCTCTTCCAGAGGTCCTGAGTTCAATTCCCAGCAACCACATGGTGGCTCACAACCATCTGTAATGAGATCTGGTGCCCTCTTCTGGCCTGTAGTCTTACATGCTGTATACATAATTAATAAATCTTAAAAAAAAAAAAAAAGGAAAAGAAAAAAAAAAGGAAAGGCTGGTCAATTGATGGAACTCAGGATTCAAAGACAATCAAACAGAAATGAGGTGATGGAGCAACTTGAATTTCTGTCAGACTGAAGCACCAAATGCTTGTGTGTTTGTTAAGCCGGTTGTTATCCTCCTGGAAACAAAACAGACTCGGTAATGTAGCATGTAAAGAACCTAAACACAAGGTCTGTGGTAGACAATATACTTTATACTGCTGCTTTTAGAAAAAGGACTTGTTAACAGGAATCCAATGACAGGCTCACAGCCAAGGAAAGACAAAGCTGGGTAATGGGATCCATGCCACATTCCAGCTGAGGAGTCCAGCCCGTTAAAGCACTTATTCCATTCTTGATTTATAACAACTTTCAAGGAATCATTTTAAAATGTTTGCCTAGAGTCTTCTTTTCTTTAGAGGTCAGATTTGACTCACAGTGAAAAAAATATGATCCAAATATTTTGGCAACAGTATTTGATAGCATATGTGATTCTTTTCAAACCTGATCTTGGGGACACACAGACCCACTTATGTATGTAACTGACATTAGCCCATTCTGCCTAACAGTCACATTAACACTTGGATGGGAGTGAGAATTTGGGATGAGTTTTATGTATTATCATAGGAGAAGTGGGATGTTTATCCTTCCATGAGAGTGCTAAAACTGGAACACTTTTTTTTTTTTACATAAATGTGAAGAAAAGTAACTTTTAATGCACACAAAAATTTATTCTCTGGAAAATTGAACTGCCATTAAAATCTCCTTGGACTGGTGTAATTTTAACATTTTTACACACAAGTCAGCAATTTCTTTATGTAATACAATTATACAAAAGGAAAAAGGCACCGCGATAGTCGGTGTAGAGAGTACAAAAGAAGGTATGAGAGTTAAAGGCAACGGACGCACAGCGCAACTCCAGCGACACGAAGGTGGTTCAGCCGTTCACTCTACAAAATGATGGCTCACACAGTTGTCAGCTTCTATTTTTGATCAAGTGCATATAAATATGTGACAACAACACAACACTGTTGATGACCGACCACATGGACATACTATGTACATGAGCGAAGTTCACTCATGGGTGAGAGTCACTAGCAAACGTGTTAGAGACAGCTGAGACCAAAGGAAACACCAATAGGCAGCACACTTCTTCAGGTTGGTTGAGACAATTCTGCTCACAGAGCAGTTAAATGTCATCATTCGGTTACACCTATTATTAGAAAAATAAGTAAGAAAGCTCCGTAGAAACTAGACTATTAAGGAAGCTTCTTGCCTCAAAAACTGAAAGAAAGAAAGGGGAGGAAGAAAGAGAGGGGATACTGAGTAAAAAGATCCACTGATTGAGTTTTTTTCTATAAAAATTACATTATTTTGAGAAGCAAAGTCCCAGGGCAGAAGTACCAAGCAGTGATGAACCTCTTGAGTTTTAGAAAAAGACTAGGTCCCAACACTTATCAGACTCTTAAAATTCATAACTCAAGCACTGGGTACAGTTCTGATACACTATCTTATTTCGGAAGTCAGGTACAAGTCCAGCCAACTTGCTGGGACATGGCAGTCACTGCCAGCTAAGGCAAAAGCTGTCCCCTCTGTATCAGCTTGAAAGTGCCTCAGAATTGCTGTACTGTTTTCACCAGAAAGTTATTGTAATAAAACTATGTAGAAACAGAATAAATAAAGTTTTAAACTACATTACTACTATAGTTTTTCTCTTGGTAAACTCAAACTATTTGGGGCACATTTCTATCTGTGCTCGAAATAACACTTCAATACCACGTCAGTATACTTGTCAAAGATGCCAGTGCGTTACAGGACATATCAGTATCCTCAGTTATTTATCCAACAAACTGCCAAAATGTCATCCTCACCTTTAAAAAGGCCTTCCTCTAACTTTATGGTATTAGCTTCAGTTCTGTAGTTTTGGAAATCATTTTCTTAAAGCAACTTGAGAGAGATCAGAAGGAGAGAATATGATACAATGGCCTAAGATTCTTCATTCCCAAGAAGCTGGCTTCCTTACAATTACCTGGAAACTACAAATCTTACCACTTCCACACTAAGACTTAATCTCTGGGTACTGAAACTGCTGCCAATAATTACAGATAAGAAACAAAGTATTATATCCCAGTACTGCCCAGGTAGGATTTCCTGGGAAGCTCATTCAGACCTAGACTCTTAGGCTTTCCTCTACACCAAATGGAACAGAATCTCCAGATAGAACCTAGAGAGAAATCTTAGGTACATTACAAATTAGGAGCCACTGTCTGTTGTTTTTTGGGAGTTTGCTGGGAGTCCAACCCATGTTTTCTCATCTTCTAGTAGTACTGCTGAATCCACAGTTTACTTTCCTACTCAACCCCAGTGCCCTGCACACACCTTTCTCTACACCTTGTATCTTATGAAAAGACACCATCCAATGCCAGTCTCAAGAGAACATAAGATCATGGGGGAAGACTTGTCCATCCAACTTATAGCCCCTACAACAGCACATGGCACACAGCTGGGATTCTTATACATATATACTAAATGGAGAAAAGGAAACCAAGTCAGTGAACAAGGCTCACAACAGAAAACTTTCACAATGTAGTGCTGATTCTACCAGAGATTTCATTCACCAGCATTTGCTGTGTGCCTCCTATTAGCAAATGGGCTCCTAAAGTCTCTAGAACATAGCAATTACTAACAACGAAGGGGAGGGAAGCTAGGTGTGAGTTTTGTCTAATATTAACGAACTTTAACAAAAGAACATGAATGTGCACAGGAAGGCAGCAGTCTCTCCTCTACTCTGATATGACAGGTTAGTAGATAGTCTGTCATTTCACAGGGTAGAAAGGTGTATATAGATAATGAAAATACCTTGGTCAAGAAGAACAACTGAATTAATATATTTTCAGAATCAAGTACAATGTAGACACTGTACAAATCTCAAGTCCTTAAAAATAAAAATCACCCCAATTATGATACCAAAGTACCATTTGTGTCCTGAGAGGGCAAGCCTCCTCGACTGTCTTTTTGCTTTCTAAGCTCTACTCTTATCTCTGCCATTCAGATAAGCTGTGCAGGACTTGCCCAGTACAATGCTGCTCTTTTCACCCATGATAAAGAGGGTGAAGATGCAATGTGCATGAGTGGGCTTGGAGTGATCCCAGTTCTACTGTGGTTTACTTAAAAGAGGGGCACCCTTAGGGGGACAGCTCGGCTTCTCCAGACAATAGCTTCTTCACAGATAAAAACACTGGTGAGCCGGGCGGTGGTGGCGCACGCCTTTAATCCCAGCACTCGGGAGGCAGAGCCAGGCGGATCTCTGTGAGTTCGAGGCCAGCCTGGGCTACCAAGTGAGTTCCAGGAAAAGGCGCAAAGCTACACAGAGAAATCCTGTCTCGAAAAACCAAAAACAAAAACAAAAAAAAAAAAAAAAAAAAAACCACTGGTGATGTTACTTGCCTCTTACAAGTTGTGACAGTCAAATAAAACAATACATTATTGTCTCAGTTCCTTACTAAGTGGTAGCCGTAACCATCATCAGTATTGCAGCTTTGGAGGGCACAAGTGATGTTTTAAGTGCTTTACTGCATGCCTCACCTTCTTTCAGTATCAGACTGGCTGGTGACAATGACACAGATGGCCACTTTCAACTGACAGATGAAGAGGAAGAAATGGATTATAAAGAAAGTAAGACAAAGAAACTTATAACAACTAGCAATGCCATTTTTTTCTATGAATTCTCCAGTCTATGGAGCTAAATGGCAGCTTTCTGCAAATGAACTTTGTGTCCTGTCTATTGATACTTGAACAAGGATTTTGAGAAACCGGTTGGTGACCACTGGCCTTCTACCACTTATACTTCAAAAGCTCACCTATTTCTTAGTTTCCTCAAAAAGCTGTGATATCATTTGTATTCCTCATTGTCAAGAACAGCCTGGACTCTGTTTCTGCTTGCCTATTGATGCAAGTCAGATTCTCAAGCACTGGTCATGCTCCCAACTCAGGGAGGAACCAGTAATGTAACACACAGAGCTGTGTTTTGCACAGATCAGATCAGACACCCCCCCACACCAACACCCAACTTCACAGCAGCAGCATAGTCATCCAGACAGTTTAAGTATTTTTTCTTTTTCTTAAAACATGGTCTAATGAATTACTTTTGTTAGTGAACACAACACTACTGAGAATTCACCAATGTGCAATGAGATAATATGCAATCGTATTTCAAATCAAAGGCAGCTGGTACTTAGGCTCCAAAATTACAGAAGCTTCTGAGAGATCAAACAATACTGTACTCCTGGACAGCAATCAACAGCCACATTGGGGAGGCTGAGAATACCCCATATTCCAGTCAACTGTTGAGTCTGGACATTTCATTTGATTTTAGCCAAACAGTAAGAGTGTAGACTGTCATTTTCAAGTTCCCAAGTCAACATCTGTGGCCCAGATAATTTGGGAAGTATTTGTGTTAAGTCACAGGAGAGAAAAGGATGCATATTTGTGTATATGTGGCAGAATGGCAGCATCTAGCTCCAAACCTAATATCACATTCAGAAATTTTACAAAGGAGAAAAAAGCAATCCATGACCTGGAGAAATGCCTTTCTATTCAGTTATGTGAAAAGGCAAGGCACCTTCACCTTTGCATGTACACAGCATGTTATGTTGTGTATGTAGTTATGTGCACACACACAATTTATAATCATTGAGGACTTGGAAAAAGGGATGGAGGGAGGGCTGTTCCTGATGTTAAAAAAAGACTGAAATCATTTCCAGGCCATACATGGAGTGACACTTACACCAGACACCCCTGAGGATCTTTGGGGGTACACACAGTTCTGGGCAGTCTCCAGAAAGGAGGTTTAACAAACAACAGGTTTTCCTCTCCACACAGTGAAAGCACCAAGCTGGTTTTATAGTGTCCAACTGAACTTTGTTACAAAGAAGACCAGTGACTTTATTAGGAAGACAGCAGTTGTTAGCCATGCAGGTGATTGTTTCAAAGCCAGCAAAAGCTCCCTGTAGCATGGAATGCCTGTACCCAATCTTCAGTGTAATCTATAGCCTTCTTCACATTTTGCCTTACTATGTTCTTCATTCAATAACTTAAAAAAAGAACTATTTTGCTTCTTGTTCATGGTTTAATTTCTAACCTGACTCACTTTATTTAAAACAACAACAACAACTAAACCAAAAACCAATCCTGGGAAGCTCACTAATAGAATGATAGAAGGACTTTTTTTTTTTAAATTTTTGGTTGTGAACCTAGCCTTTAATTGGCTGAGCCAACTCCCCAGCCCTGACACTTTCTTTTGAATGCAACTTTTTTTTTCACTCTGTAGTCCAGGATGGTCTGGAACTACATAGCCCAGGCTAGCCTCAAACTCACAGCAATCCTTCTGCCTCAGCCTCCCAAGTGCTAGGATTATAGAGATGAGCCACCATGCTGGGCTCTGAAATTTCTGCTTTTAAACTAACTCCACATTTCCTATTTGTATTTTTTTCCTCTTAAAATGCTGTGTTTGAAAGCATAGAGGTGCCTTCTTTTAAGCTAAAAATGTAGAAGTTCACGGTCGTGTGTGTGTGTGTGTGTGTGTGTGTGTGTGTGTGTGTGTGTGTGTGTTTTTAAGGCCTTTCATACTGCCACATTTTAATAAATCAGTATGTGGCTCTGCTAGTATGGTACTGATGAGTTCTAGTTCACAGTAACAGTCCAGAGTGCTCAGCTGGGATTGGAACCATGATACAGCTTTTCACTAATTGGTAAATAATACATTTTTGTCTAGTTTAACTAGAAATGAGAAAGAGCAAAAAGAAAATAATTTTATGTACACAAACATACTCTAGTACAGTATATGCATAGAATTTTATGTTAGGTAAGAAGAAAAATTAGAAGAAAATAGCTTATAATTATATCCAATTGGCCTATGGTTTCTAAATATGAAAACAAGACAGGAAAATGCTCAGTCACATGTAGGCCAGCACAGTGCACAGCCTCACACGCTGCAGAGTGGGGTAACGACATGGTATTGCCAAGGACCTTCACATCTATGAGTGCTGAAGTCCAAATTTGCAAATACGGCTTCCCAGCTGCGTAAGCAAGGTCAACTTGCATGAAAAGGCACAGAGTGACATCACGATGAAGACGTCACAAAACACAACACAAATCACTAGAGCACAAGGGATTCCAGAATGATCTTAACTGGATTAAAGCTGAGAACCACAAAGAAATGGTAGTGAGTGAGGACTCCAGGAGCTTCTGTTTTGGTGCTACCTGCTTTACTCCTGTTGAAGACTGGACACTTGGAACAGATAGTCAAAATTCCTTTTAACTAGAATGTCTTCCATTTTCAACAGCTATCTACAGTGTCTGCCACTTCACACAGCTGTAAAGACTGACCACTGAAAGCAATTCCAAACGAGAGCTTTGCTCTACCATTTTCTACACTAGAACACATAGTGTACAAAGGGCTTGAACATAAAGTTTCTGCAGTACAGTCAGAAAAGTTTATAAGGGACCAACGGGACATGGTCTCTTTGGATCAGAAAAAAGAAGGAAATAAAGAAATAAACTTCAAAGAAACCAGCCTTACACTTCCCTTCAGAGAATTTTGCACTTGGGTTTAGAACTATAGAGAAAGGCTGAGGCACAGAGAACACATCTGCAATGAAACTGTCATCAGTGTGAATGACCTTGAGATATGACTGTGATCACTGAGATCTGCCCAAGGACTGGCCATCATAATGCTTTGTGGATAGCATGTGGGTGATGATACATACTGCTGCAATGGAATTTCTGGTTTTAAAATCACAATCTCCATGAGATTCCTAGCTCTTTCACTAAATAAACTTTGAATCAAAAGCTGTTGTTCAGTCTCTGGAGGACTGCTGAGCACTACTGATACCTCCCCCCCTCAGCTCAGCACTGGACGGTCCTTCCTTTTGCAAGGGTGAAGCACTGTGGCAGGATGCTGACAGGACTCTCCAGGGATGGCTCTTCTGATGGCGACCAGGAAACAACAGCAGTACTGGCTTACAGCTGCCTTCCTCAGGACTCCAGCAGGGCATGCCACCTGCACACTTGTTGTCCCTTGGACTCCTTCATTGCAGTCCAGTGTCGGAGCTCCTCCTCCCCAGAGCTGTTCAGACCTAAGGAAATCCAGCCTATCATCTCCTTTCTTTTCATGCTGCGCTTGTTATACACAGACAGTATCAGAGTCACATCGGAAAGTTGAAACAAGGCCACTTGAAAAACAAAAGTTTCCTTGTACACCGGGTTTGGCTGCCCTCTGCGGGTGGATGTCTTGCATTTGGACATCTCTTGGCCCATGGAATTCAGCAGTGTTAACTTAACATATGTATCTGAAGGAAGAAAATCAACACACCACAAATATCATTTGAAATAAACTGACAATTTTCTTATGATAAATGCCACCATTAGGTAGTCACGCTTTATAAGGATATGGTGTATACCATGTTTGATGGAAACTGAACTAACTCAATTTTGATGTCAATGCTTATTAAATACATAACAAGTAGAGAATGCTAAGTTGGATGAAATACTTGGATAGTAGTAATTAGCCTCACTATTTCTAGGAATGGAATTTAAAGGTATACCTCATAATCCTTCCTTCACCCTCCCACCCCTCACTGGCCTCCCACAACCTCCCCTGCCCATCACCACCCTATTTCACTCCATTAAGCAGGACATCATAGCATTAATAGACACTTAGCAAGCTCAGTTAGCCACAACACTACAGCATTCCACTGTTTTCAGAGAGTAGGAATAAACAAACAAATAGAAATGAAGGCAGATGGAGGAGGAAAGGAGGAAGACAAGAATGCAAAGGTGACACCGAAACAGCTTAAGATGAAATGTCAAAAAAATCTCTGCATGGATGTGGTTTTTAAATATATATTGAAAACATTTAAGGGCCCAAATGAAGCCAAATGCTTTAAGGGGTCAATGTTTAGCAAATCAAATAAAACTTTCTTCCAGTTTCATGCAAGAGTACATTTAATGTGCTTTTTTGGGGGGTATGTGGGGTAGTTAAATACTATTGGGTTTCTTTCAGGCATAATTTAATGTAAAATTTTAAGAATGATATTTAATTATTTTCATCAATTACAAAAACACTGGCATGATGTTTAGTGTACAAAGTGAAATGTAACATTTCAAGGCCTTTTTATATAGGAGATATAGTCTCTCTTTAAAAGACTTTTCAAGTCTGTTAGACTCATGCAAATGATCTCAGCATGTTGATCCATCATGTGTACTTCATATCAAAATTTCAAAGATAATTGCAAAGTTCTCATGAGATCTATTTCTATCATAAATCAAAATACAAAGAAATAAAAAAACTTTTATCTTAAAAAGTTTTGCTCATTTGTTGATATTCTGAATACCACCATCCATAATCAGAGATAAAGTCTAAGTTAGTTTTGTTTAAAATACCACAGATAAAAATGTGCATTGTTTTGGAAACCAACATGGTGGACAGTCTCACTGCTGGCAAGTTTTAGGGCATTTCGTTTTTGCATGAAAAGACAACATCCAATTAGCCTCTACAGGAACTCACCTCGGATTATATAAACCTGTCCACCTATCAAGTGTTTTAGACAACAGAACAGTCCATCTGACAACAGGGGGTGGAAAGCAGTAAAAGAAATAATGACCAGATGTCAATCGTTGGGTGAAAGAGGGTCAAAGGTCAGAATTAAAGAGGAAAACTGCACTTGAGTGGAAAAACACAAAACTTTAGCATTCTAATTCAAGTAGAGGGTTGAACAAAGGGCTGTTTTATAAATTTCATGGAATGAAAAAAATTTAACATCATTGTGTAATCTTAAACAAAAATTACACTGTTTTAAGAGGGGGACATATTTATAATGGTATCTTCTTGGTCTAAAGCACATTGAACATATAGAATCATGCAAATTATCAGGCTATAAAAGATCAAATACAATCATTATAGGATCACTATTATTGTGTTACATTTTAATTTTACCCATGCAATATTTAGTATTTCAAATAGTCTGATTACTTCCAATATAATCAAGAACTAAATTGTGCAAAATGAAATACAACTGTCAGAATATTTGCTCTTGTGGGTTGCTCCTGTTTCTTTCGGGGGGTGGGGTTGGGGGGGTTGGGGGTGGATCTGAGGTTACCTGGTTTACAGCAGTTCACAGCTTAGACTCTGAGTATCAATGATGGGCTATAATCTTACAGTTTAGGACACAATGACATAATTGTCTTCAATTTTGCTTTGCAAATATCTTACATGTCTTTTATAAATGCTTTACCTTCATATCATTATTTTAAAAGTTGGCTTTATTTACTTTCTAGTGACTTCTTAGCTAACATCACTAACCAACTTGAGGCTGAAGATCTCATTCTAAAGTAATGTCAACTGCTGTCACCCTTTTGCCCAAGGACAGACTCCATGTTGTAGGTGCTCAACATTCTTAACATGTTTACTATCTCACCTTGCCTTGTGCTCCTTTCGCTCTGACTCCCTGCTCTCTATTTCTATATCACACTATCATTTCATTCTGCTACTTTTTGACATGTCCAATTAAGCATTTGTCAAAATTTATTGAACTGCCAGCTTAAGCGTGAGACACAAACTAACGCCTGTCTCCTGGTGCAATGTTACACTGTCTTTGGGTCTGTGTCTTGTAGTCAGACAAGCACAGCTGTGGTTGTCATGGCCTCACAAGCTCACGTGTCCAGCTGCAAACCTCATCCAGGTTCTCTCCAGCGCTTGGTGGGGAGATTCTTAGTGTATCTGCATGAAGACAATCAAGTCAGACTCCCCAGCCTGCTTGTTCTTAGCATGTTCTTTCACACACTCAGTTTTCCTTTTGAAATGAGAAAGTGGATGGTACTAATTCTACTTTTATGTACCTCTGTCAGATCTGATTCTCACAATCACCCTGTTAAGAGACCGAAACTTTACTTTACCTATTAAGAAACAGACTTGTAGGGTCAGGCCATTTGTCTATGGAGATTATAATTTTTCTTTTAAATTTTTTAATTACTATTTTATGTGCATGGGCATTTAGCCTGCATGTATGTCTGTGCACCATGTGTGTATCTGGTATCTGCAGAGGCCATAAAAATGAACTGGATTCCCTGGAACTAGAGTTATAGATGGTTGTGAGCTACCTTTCAGGTACTGGGGATTGAACCCGAGTTCTCTGGAATAACAACCAGGGCTCTTCACTGCTGAGCTATCTCCTTAGCCTTGCCCTCCAGACTTCTCAATTTAGGGACAGATGTATTCTATGATGTATGAAGTAAGCTTCCCAACATTTCTTGGCACAAACAATTATCTTTTTATGATGTCTCACCTGTAATGAACAATGAATTTTTATGGCATTTAAAAAGTTCCCCTCTGCCTGGCACCCTGATTAGAGTATATTAAGGATGTCTGTGGGAAATCTGTAAACAAATTTAAGCTATTAATCATTCACAATTTCCTTTCAGAGTTTTAGTCCAGGGCACAAACAAGTTTAATTTATAAAAATTTAGAGGAGTTGTTCTGTCTCCATGAGATCTGGCTCACAGACATCAACAGTTCTGGAGTAGGGGAGGGACAGTTTCTCTGCATTCCCAAACCTACTCCTGTCGTCAGTAGACAGAGAGAGGGCAGAGGAGAGGACACAGAGCAGACAGATGCCCTTCGTTCCCACTCAGTCCACCTAGGGCAAGCGCTGTCTTGACTTCATTTGTACAGGGAAGAAAAGGGCCTACTGACTGTGTAGGGTGATGGTTTTTGTGTGTGTTTGTTTTTTGTTTTTGTGTGGTGCTGGTGCTAAAACCTAGGCCTATACATGCTAAGTACATGCTGTATCACTCAACTATATATATCCTTAACACCTATAATTTCAAAGAAGGAGAAAATACTTTCTTCATGAGGTGTTAAAGTAAAAGAAGGGAAATACAGAAGTAGATCATTAGTTCAGAGTACTGCACACAGACAGAAAACACAACATTAATCTTTAGCTAACAAAAGCTACATGCTTTTCTTAAATACTGTGAATAGTAGTTACTTTTTACCCTGTAACTTTTTCTGGCATTAAAAGATAATGGCTATAACAGGGATAAATTATTCTTCAGACACTATGAAAACTTAAAATTCCTGTCACCATACAATTAATATTTTGAATTTCACATTTTCTACTTCCCAAATGACTGGAAACAGAAAACATGAAACAGATTGGCTGATGATTCAGTGTTTCATTGTGATTGGTTAAGACTAAAATGATGTGAGTCCCCTAAATGCAAAAAGCATTAGGATAAAAATCTTTCTTTCACTCACTGGGTGGTCTGTTTGCTGCCAGGTTTTTGAAGTGGCTGCCTTTGATGACTTCTGCAGACAGTCTTCCAGTGGTGGCGTTGTAAAGGAGTCCAATAAGGATCTCTGGAACGGAGCCATGCTCCAGAGATTGACAGGAGGATGTGCTTTCACCACAGGAGACCTCTGACAAGCTCACCTGTGAGTCACAGCCCTGTAGAGCAAATGTGAAACTGTTACAGTACTTTACAAAACACAGATTACAAAATGTATTGTTGGCTGGGTGTGGTGGTGTGTGCCTTTATTTCCAGAACTCAGGATGCAGAGGCAGGTGGATCTCACTGGTCTACACAACGAATTGCAGGCCAGTCAGAGCTACAGTGAGACCCTGTCTCAAACACCACCACTGACAACTGCAACAAACAAAAGAAATAAAATGGCAAAGCTATATGTATTGAAATTACATCATGAAAAAGGGTGCAGGTGCACACCATACTCCCAAACGCTCAATTAAAAATAGTCTGCAGACATTTTAGTCAAGTATTAGATGAAGAAATTTTCATATTACCGCATATTTGTAGGCAAATCAGAGACACTTCTTTTAAAACTCTATTTATTGTGTGCCTATGCACGTGTACATACAAATGCACGTGGCCAATATGTATTGAAAGTTACAGAGCAGCTACCAGGGCTGGTCTCTCTTTCCATCATGTGGGTCCTGGGATTGAACAAAAGTCATCAGAGTTGGCAGCAAGAGCCTTTACCCACTGAGCCATCTCAACAACAAGTTTCTTCAACTTATGCATGGTAATCAGATATTTCCTGAAACTAAAAGATTATTTTCTAAAGAGTTATCAACCTCAAAACATAGGCCACTCTTGGCTGCACAGTGAATTCCAGGCCATCCTGGCTTACATGAGACCTGGCCTCAAAAAATCCTATAACTGATTTCCCTTTTGAAACTGTTATCACCATGGTGGAAATCACAGCCAGTGAAAGTCCTAGTCTTAATAAACAACAATAAAATAATTAATCATCATAATTTAGAAGAGGAGTGGGTAAGATTGTCCATTAGATAATCAAATACAAAGGAAATTTGAACAAATTCACAGAAGAACTGTAGTTGCACAAAAGTAAAATTTGAAAATATTCACATTGTAAACATATCAGCAACACACCTGAAAATGAAATTTATAAAAAGCAGCATTTGCCGGACGGTGGTGATGCACGCCTTTAATCCCAGCACTAGCGAGGCAGAGCCAGGCGGATCTCTGTGAGTTCGAGGCCAGCCTGGGCTACCAAGTGAGTTCCAGGAAAGGCGCAAAGCTACACAGAGAAACCATGTCTCGAAAAACCAAAAAAAAAAAAAAAAAAAAAGCAGCATTTATTTATAGACTTGGGCATGGTGGCTCATGCCTGCACCCCAGCACTGCTGAGAAGGCTGAAGAAGGCAGACTGCAAGCTTCAGACTAGCCTGGTCTACACAGTGAGTTCTGTGGTTGGCAAGGCTACATTGTGAGATCTTGTCTCAAACAAACAAACAAACTAGAAGCAAAAGCATTTGCTACAGCATAAAACATAAAATATCTAGAATAAATATAATAAACAACATGCTAGCCTGCAAGGCATCTGCAGAAAACATGAGCATTGCTGAGAAAATGAAAAGTACTCTACCAGATAAGCTTAGCAAATGTGTTAGAGGGCTGGTTTATAACATTCTCCCCTTATCATCTATAGATTAAATGTAATTCCAATAAAAATCTCAACCGATTTCTTTGCATTTTCTTGGCTTCATTAGCAATCAAGGGAATGGAAGTTCAAATTTTGGGATGACAATAAACAGATGAGCAAAAAGAATACCTATTGTGGTGTGGACACAGAGAAGGAGGAACTGTCCCTTCCTTGATGGGAGTGTAAGAAGATGCTACTTTCAAAAATGCCAAAGATACATACCCCTGGCTTTGCAATGCTAAAATATATATCCTATATATCTGAAATTTGGATGAAATGGATACATTCTTAGAAAATGACATTTACACATACACACACACACACACACACACACACACACACACACACACACATCCACTGAAGATGTATGCAGTATCACCAAGAGACAAGAAGGAATAATGCCCAGAGAGACACTCCTCACCCCAGACCCAAATGGCAGAACAGACAGATTTTTGGTAAGCTCATACAGTGGTGTACCTCATAGCAGTAAAAACCATTATAATGTTACAAATGTAATTGAAATGTTGGCCCTAGAAGGTCATCCATTAACGTAATTCCATTTGTATGCATTAAAAACAAGCCCAAACCAAACAACCTGGAGGACAACTAGCAAACTAAACCTAGTGCTTCATTAGTATGATGGGTGGTAAGACAAAGAAAAGCAAGAAAGTGATTAATATACATGCAAATTGTGGTTAATTCTAGAGGGGTGTGATAGACCATCCCAGGGCAATGGCTTTGTTTTTATTTTACCTGTATATATTTGTGATAAATAAGTGATATCATTTCTGTTTTTTTTTTTTTTTACCCATTTTGAAGTGTACTGAGTTTTCATAAGAAAAAAGGTTTAGAAAGGATTGCTTGATATAAGGAAACACACACACACACACACAAAATGGTAAAATTAATATTCAGAATTTTATTTGAAGATTCCCAAAGAAATCCCATGAGTTAGAATAACAGAAATAGAGGAAGGAAATAATGGATGAAAAGATGAAAGAAAGGAAGACAGGAAGGGAGGGAGTAAAGAAGGAAGGGATGGAGGGTGGAGGAAAAGAGGAAGGCTACTCTATATAACAATGTCATTACAGAAATTTTAAATTTCAAGCCATCTCTCTCTAAGCCAGAGAGATGCCTCAGCTGGTAGAGACTTGTGTATGGGAGCTCAGTAACCTGAGTTTGACTCATGAATCCTATATGGTGGCAGGAGAGAATGACTTATGACAGTTGCCCACTGGTCACCAAACGTGCAGTGCAGCACACCCACACACAACTGTACACACACACACACACACACACACACACACACACACACACACACTAAATTTTTTAATCCTAAATTTTTTAATGTTTTGGATAAATCTTCAAATTTAAATCTACTCTTGGCTATGTAAGTGATAGAAAAGAATGAGCACATATCTGAACTAATTGGTCTAGCCTTCAGGAAGATAAAATATCATTTTTTAAATATACCTCAAAATTACAGAATAGGAGGCAAAAGGAATATATACCTTATATTCCTAAATCATGGGTAAAGCCCCCATGGTTTGATATGTTTTTCTGACAGTTGGAGAAGAAAATACAATTTTAGTTTCAATCAGGCTACATCATCACTTCTGAAAATGGTGTCAAAAAACATGCTTGAACACACTTGCTGAATTTGTTACACTAGGCTGCATCTGTTACACCCGCAGCATCTGTTAGAACAAAATGTGAACCTAATAGGAAATGTGAACCTATAGCTGCCTGTCAGCCTGACCACAATGTCACCAGGAATGCTTCTGAAGGAGACAAACACCTCTCTGGCCATGTTATTGCCTTGAAAATTCCTATTGCTGAGCCCAAAAGGATGAGTGATAAGATCCTCAATGATCACATTTTATTTGAGTCAGCCTTAGTGTAACACAACAGCACTTACATCACAAAAAGCTGTATTTTATAAGAGTTCATTCTGCATTCCACCTTAGAGAAAGTGGTAAGTTGATGGCTTCTGTGTCAGTGCCTATCTGAGACGGGGAGTCTCCAAGGAGCCCACTGAAACTGAAAAATGGAGAAATAGCACACAGAGTCAGGGGCAAGAGCTGACTTCACACTGCTCCTCCTTCATTCTACCTTTGATAATCTCTACAGACCCTGTCATGAATTTAGAACAGGGCTTTGCCTAGGTCCCAGTAACCGTAGGTGATTAACCCAGAGCCACACAAATTTGAACCAATACTAAGCTGGTGTAAATGAATGGTACCATAGGCTCCCAAAAGTCAAAAATCCCCCATCTTGCATAAGACTTTATTTTTAATATTTCCTCTTCTTCCTGGAATCTTTTTTGCCAGAGGGTGAAGGATTATTATCAGTTCCCTGAGGAGAGGAAAAAAATCTTAAAATTTCAGACAGATGAGTGAACTCTATAAAGTATTAACTTTATCCAGAATCAATGCCCATGGCCTTAATGGTGCTTATATAGGTTTAAATCAAGTAAACATCTAGAATAGCCATTTGATGAACAATACAGTTCCTACAGAGTAAACATACTGGGCTTCCCATTGACACTAAGTAGATTCTTGCTTACTTGTAACTACTTACACTCAAAATTTTAAGGATGAAACTGAACTGTATAATAATTAATGTAAATTTGAATAATCTCTGTTGAATTTATTCTCACTATGGCTGGAAGACAGCATTCAGATTCCAATTTTATTTATATATGAAAATTTTTCATTACACTGAAAATGGGTGATGGGGGCAACCAAGGGCAATGCCAAGTAAGACAAGGGTGTCACCTGTGACAACCAGAGATGATTTCAGGAAAGAGTGAGCAGGCAGGCCTGCTGGGGAAACACCCAAGGGAGCTGCAAAGGAGAGCAGCAGAAGATGGTCTAAGCCTGAGTGGGGCTGGAAGTCAGCATGCCTAAAACTGGGCTGTATTGGTGTAATTCAGGTTGTAAGTGACCAAAGGCCTAGACTCAAGAAACTCAGCTGGTCCAGGCTTCAACTTCCATCACAGGACCCAGTTTTCCCTCCTCTCTTCCTCAGGCTTGTCCCCTACACTTGGTTTCATTTTCAGGCACTCTCCTTATTGGTTGTCAGATGGTTTCTGGCAGTTCTGTGAGTTCTGTTCAAAAGTGAACAGCTATTGGAGAGCTTGAGACTTGCAGGACTGGATATTCAGGGACAGGAAGTCACTCCAAGAGTTTGGAAGAAAGTGTGTTTTGGGTTGAACATGGTCCCCACTCCCAACTTATGCAGGAGTTTAAACTCCAATGTTATAAATTAATGATATAAGAGTGTGGTGCTTAGGGGTGATTGTAATAGGTCATTCGGGTAAAACCCTCAAGACTAAATTCTAATGTCTTTGTAAGGAGAGGAAAAAGACACTCCCTTCCCCACAAAACACACAAATTTGAACCATGATGTACTGTAGCCAAGAGGGACCCTCACGGAGCCTGGACCATGCTGATTGGTCTTTCCATCTCCAAAATTATGAGC